TCACAGAACTGAATTTAGCATGCCCCTAACCCCTACCTCTCTTTTTTATTATTTTTATCTTTAACTTTTCCCATATTGGGACATAATAATTCAAGATGAAATCAGGTCAGAAAAAAACTCAATGACTTCTGAAGGTGGCTATGTTAAAACAATAAAAAAAGGCTTAGTGTTTATCCACGTGGACTCAGAAGTTTTGTAAAAATAGACCTCAGAGATTGTGCAAGTTCATGCTTTGTGCTTTTATCAGCAGGTGAAAGATTGTTTGACTCATCTGCAGCACTGCTGTGCTGGCCGTCTTCAGTTCAATTGATCCGGAAGTTAATCTCTTGTACAGACTCATTTAATGCTTATTTCCTGCAGGTTGCAGTAAAATGCATCAAGTGTGGTTCACGAGATATCTTGTTAAATGACAGCAACACGCTCACGCGGGCTCAGCCTTCATACTGCCTTTGCTTCTCCAGCGTTTGGATTTAGACTCGTCACAAAGGACACGGTGGAGGACAGTCCGGTCCCGCATGGGGAGACACAGGATGGGCGGCATTCAGTTCTAAAAAGTCTATTGACGTGCGACAAAGACAGAACCCCGGACCTTCAGACGCCGGGACGACGGACGGGATCCGGTCAGGGGAGCTTCACATGATTGACAGGGGCATCACGGAATGACGTCAGCCGGAGGCGCTGCCTTCAGGAGCGTGCGGCGAGAGGAGCGTGCGGAGCTGCAGGGATCTGAACTGGACCCACAGAGCGAAAACACCTCATCTGGACCGGGTGTCGATTCGTTTCTGTAATCGAGTCTCTTGTGGTTCCGATCTGAATCCGACTGTTGACGTGTTACTGAAGCTGGACTCAGGTTCGTTCTCGTTTCGTATTAAACCGACATTCATTGTTCCCATGGATCTGAGCTCATCTGACCAGGATGGATCAGCAGTTTGACATCTGGAGAGCAAATGTTCAGCTAGAGACTTAGCTCAGGAACAGTTCTGCTTTTCATTTTGTCAGGTTATTTTTAAACACTATGTTGTTAAATAAATAAATATATAAATAAATATTCCTGTTTGTTGCTGGGCATGTTTTTGACGCAGCTCCGTTCTGTCCCGTGTGCTTGTTGTCCAGGTCTCCTGCTGAGCCTAGAACCTCTTCCTAGTCCCGTTCAGCCCATGGAAGCCGGCCTTCTTCAATATGGACGAACAGAGGGAGGAACACAAAAAGACCCTGGATCCTGTCTTGTGTGAGCAGAGAAGCACCTAACGGGAGGGTTCTGTTCAGGAAAAGCTAATGAGAAAAACAGTTGCATGTTTTTAAAGTGAAGTTTAGTTGGACTGGACAAAAACTCGACTGAGCAGATCAACACTGAATTTTATTTTATTTTATTTTTTTAATCCACTATAGAGGATCTAACCCATTCATATTTTCTTCCCAGAGAGTGGATGAGGAGGGGTACGAGTGTTTTCTGATGAACTGGAGACTTGTCTGTTCGTCATTTCACACTTTTGGTTCAATATTTTGTCTAAATAATTCATAACTGATGACAGAAGAAACATTTCTGCTGCTATGAGATTTTTTCTTTTCATAAAATGCATATAGGCTTTTAGCTTTAGATCCTGCCTGTTTTCAAATATGGAGAATATCTCCATTTTGAATGGCGCTCTACCGGCCTGTAACAACTCTGTGGACCCTTATTCCCTCACATCTGTGAACAGCACGGACCTGAACTGCACCTCTCCCTCAGACTTTTACTTCTACGCCGACCTTTATGTCATCTTACCAATCATCTACTCTGTGATCTGTGCTGTGGGACTGACAGGCAACACGGCTGTCATCTATGTCATTCTCAGAGCCCCCAAAATGAAAACGGTCACCAACATGTTCATCCTGAATTTGGCTATTGCCGATGATTTGTTCACGCTGGTGTTGCCAATCAGTATTGCTGAACACTTACTAAATTATTGGCCTTTTGGAGAGGTTCTGTGTAAAGTCATCCTTAGCATAGACCATTACAACATCTTCTCTAGCATCTACTTCCTGACAGTCATGAGCATTGATCGCTATCTGGTCGTCTGGGCAACAGTGAGGTCTAAGCGTATGCCTTACCGTACCTATCGGGCAGCCAAAATCATCTCACTCTGCGTCTGGATTCTCGTCATACTCATTGTCATGCCCTTCACTGTTTTTGCTGGGGTCTACAACTCAAACGATGGGCGGAAGAGCTGTGTGTTGAGCTTCCCAAGCCCCGAGAACTTATGGTTCAAAACGAGTCGAATCTACACGCTCGTTCTGGGTTTTGCCATCCCAGTGTCTACCATCTGCATCCTGTACACCATGATGCTCTATAAGCTGAGAAATATGAAGCTTAACAGCAATGCCAAGGCTCTAGACAAGGCCAAGAAGAAGGTCACCATCATGGTTTTTATCGTCTTGGCTGTCTGCTTGTTCTGTTGGACCCCGTTCCACCTGAGCACCATTGTAGCTCTGACCACAGACCTGAGGACCACACCACTGGTGATTGGAATTTCATATTTTATTACCAGCCTGAGCTACGCCAACTCCTGCCTCAACCCGTTCCTCTATGCCTTTCTGGACGACAGCTTCAGGAAAGCTTTCACAAAGATGCTGGAGTGCCGACCAGCTTGAAGGTGCAACAAATCAACCTCTGGAACAAGGCTGCACTCATCTCTGATTCGCTGAGAACAAACTGGGAAGACGAAGCAGATTTAATCAGATCAGAAAGAGAGTTTTTACAAGGATGCATACATTTTATTTACATACAACTCATGAAACAAAAAATGTAAAGAATCCAGGGCCTAGCTTTCCTTGAGCAAATTTAATTAATTTAACCTTTATTTATGCAGGTATTGAGTCCAGGGGAGTGGTGGAGCAGCGGTTAGAGAAGACGGGCCTGTGATCGGAAGATTGCCGGTTCAAGCCCCGGTACCGACATCATCAAAAATGTGGGTGGTGTAGGTGAAGCACCCACACCTGCCCCCACCCTCATTCGTCCCACTCTGGGCTCTTGAGCAACCCCCACCATCTGCTCCTCCGGGTGTCCTAGATATCAGCTCTCTGCTCCACACAGAGGCTGTGGTAGCTCGGTGTCCGTGGTTGTGTCAGGAAGAAAATCTGTCGTAAAAATAATCTCCAAGTCTTCGTGCGACTTAGTTCGCTGTGGTGACCCCTGAAGAAGGAGCAGCCAAAAATAAATAAATTAATTAAAAATGCAGGTATTGAGTCACAATGAGTCGCAAGGACTCATTTTCAAGAGAGACCTGTTTGGGATCTGATGGTGGGGGTTAAGGACCTTGCTCAAGGGCCCAGAGTGGGGCAAATGAGTGTGTTTCATCTTTTCCACCCACATTTTGATGTCGGTCCTGGGAGCGAACTGGCAACCTTCCGATCACAGGCTCACCTTCTATAACCTCTGCACCACCACTCCCTTTCAAGGAATGCTTATCGCCCACTAACTTATATGCCAAAGTTTTACACATAGATCTTACATTTGTTGTTAAATGACAAAATGTTTTTTTTTTTCTAGTTTTGGCTCGTAACTAAGGTTATATATAATTTTATGCAATGTCATACTTATAATGGGTTGGACAAGACTCCCAAATACCACCACTCATAATTTTACTTCAGTGTTCACAAAACTGACTAAATTATAGACATATTTGTGCTGGCTAATATTAAATAGCGGGGGTGGCCATCTTTAATTGGAGTGACTCCAACAGTTGTCATAAATTCAGTGATTACTTTCTAAAAGTTTCTGAGAAATTTTTTTTTTTTACAAGAGGTTTGTGACATATTTTACAAACAGACAAATCCAGTTAACTCCATTAGGTAATGCCAAACTTAAAGGCAAAATCATTTGGAATGAGAAGCGCTTGGAGTACATTTTAAAGATAGCTCTCAAAGCAAATTTGAAAATAATATTTGTAAAAGTTACACATTTTTAACCATTTTAGATTTTTTAGGTCACTTGGCTGCAACAGTTATTGAATTGGGCTAACTGCAAAATGTAGTAATTTACAGATGTACAGCCAATGAGAAAGTTTTAAGGGAAAAAAAAAGTTTTATTAAAACCCATTTAGTTGATTTTGCTAACAGACATACATTTAGTCACAGGCATACCATACTTGTTCACCTTTGCCTATTAGCAGTGGGCTCTCAAACTGTCAACTGAAGCAGCATTTTTAATTACAATAAAAATAAATGTCACAGTAAACTACAAAAACAAGGAAGATAAATACTATTTTTTCCTTTCTTGATGCATTAAATTCTACACAAATTTTTTCATGTACACAGAAAAACATTAGATGTTTCTCTTAAAATCACTTATGATCGAAGTAGAAGCACTTTATGGTTTATTTTATTTGTGAAACAGTTTTTTTTCTGTGAAAGAAAGACAAGGAGTCGTGTCTGGTTGTGATAGCACAAAGTACAGGCAGTTTAACTCGCATTAGGAAGCTGCTGTTCCAGGTGGTCAGCATTGTGCCAGTTACACTGGTTCCAAGGTTAAGATGTTTCACCTGTCAGATGCGATTAATGCGGTGGAGGGAGCTAAAATGTGTCCACTACATGTGACCTTCACTGGACACCATCCGGTTTCAACAAACAACAACACATCTGAGTGGCTTAGACACTGTTTATCACATGGCCACTGATTTACGTCCACTCATATCAGAACAACACACAGTGCAACAAGGGTGTATGATGGGAATTTTTTCCTAATTAAAAAAAAAATTAATAATTAAAAATGCAAATGTTTGTTGAATATAAAGGTTATATAAGAAGTGAATAATGAAAAGGCTGAATATTTATTGCCATGAGCATAAATTTGACAACACTTTGGAATGAAGAATGGAAGGTGTTTTCTTTGACCTCAGTGTGACCTTTTTTTAATCATTCAGGAAACACAAAGTGCACATTAATAAAACCCTGACAGCAGTACTGTAGACCAGATCTACACAGAGCATGAAGGCTTTGAAACATATTGTCTGGGTTCCTCCTCAGGTCAGGTTTGTGCACGCTTTTGTTGCCCCCTGTTGTCCACAAACACTAGTAACCTGAGAATGCAGCACAGCTATTTCCAACCATTCTGGTAAAACGTTGTAAGTTAAAGTTTTAGATCATTCTGGAAATATAATTACTCATATCCTTGTACAGTTACCATGTAGCACAAAAATGTACACAGCTGACAGTTCATGGTATAGAAAACTGACTGCAATCATTTATCAGATGTCAGGAAAGTTTAGCTGAAGTGTTTCTAGTCATTTTCATTAATGAAATAATGTATCATAAGATATGTTGAAAAATGTTGCCTAATACACAATAAATATATACCCACAGAGGCAATATTTATTCAGTTTTTTATGAATAATATAGGCAAGAAAGCAGATACTCAAATTTGACATATCAAATTCCAAAACTGTTTTAAATTGTATTTTACCAAAAGAGAAAAGCAAGACATTTTTTATGTAATGCACTTTTTAAGACTGACCAGCTGCAGATTTTTCTTTTCTTTTTTGTTGACTAATCAGGTGAATACAAATCTGTCCAGATGTGTTGATGAAAAGTCAATGACAGTCAAGGAGGCTCTGTCCAACCTGAGTCTGATCATTTTCGTTTTCCTGGGTTTTCAGTTCAGATTTTACCTGGTAAAGCATTATTCAGATAATACATTTACTTTTGTGGTAGCAATTTATGTTGCAGATTTGGATTCATCACTAGTTCCATGTGTGCAGTGACATATTGCTCTGCCCACAACAACACAGACAATTAAAATACTATAAATACTTGAGCCTTTGTGCCCTTGACCTGTACATAAGAATGTATAGTCATACAAATGTAAAGCTTAATCTCTGTGAAGACTGAATATGTCACATGAACAAGAAGGGATTTAGATTTGTGATCATGAATTATTGTTTAATTCAGCTGTATCCAACATGACATGGTCTTTTTTTTTTTTTTTCAGAGAAATATACTTTTCCCACTATCAGTCATGGATTATTAATTTTTTTTAGCTAAAGTTCAATTAATGTGCAGATATTGAATCATTAGAATTGTGCAGTTTAGATTTTGGTGCCACTGTACATTAAAATCACATGTATTGCACCATGGTGAAGACTTATTCTTATAGAGTTGGGAGCTGTGTTGGTATCAGTGACCACAGATATTTCAGCTGAGTAGAAAAGAGCAGCATCTTGTGATTAAAAGATCACAGTGTATTTCAGATGCCACGACAGCTTGTTGAGTGCATGATATACTGTACAGCTGAGTTTAGAGCAGCAGTACTGTTTACAAAAAGCTGAATAGTCAGAGAGACACAGATTGTTTTTGATAAGGTGTTGATTTTAGTCTTGTAAATTTATATACTTTATCGAACTTAACAAACAAAGATGGTACTGCAAAGTTGTCCAGTACACCAAGTCTCTGGCCGTACGCCCAGACTTCTGACGCCTGGTTCACTTCCCATAAGATAAACACATTTTTCCCTTTCCTGTAAGAAAATATCAGTTTGACCCAAAACCATTCTGTATTCCTAATTTGGCCACATAACACGACTTCAGCATTATTTATTATTTTGTGTAGTATGTGGTTAATGAAGGAAGTTAAAGTCTACCATCATAACAGATATTTTAGCGTACCGTTTAGTGTCCGTTTAGCGCATTTCTTAGTGTATATCTTAGATCATTATATACTGTTTCTTTTTATAATTTTTATTTTTGCTATTTTTGGGTTTAGCTGGGATAGCTGGACTTTCAATGCAATTGATAAAATGTAAGGGTCCCACTGCCTGCAGCCTGCCTTGCTGATGGCCGCTGATTACCAACACCTGGCGGCCATCAGCCTGATGAGCCTCTCCATCTACAAAAGGCTGCAGTCCGGTGTGACTCATCGCTGGAGCATATCACTTCTCATGTTTCCTGGTTCCTCGTGTTTTTGGGTTCTCCTCGTGACCTGATTTGGATCCCTCGGCCTGTCAGGTATTCCTCGTGCCTTTTTGCTTCCAGTTGCCAGCCTTCCTCGTTTCCCTTGGACCCTCGTTGGATTCCCCTCTGCTGCTCTCTCCCTGGACTGAAGGACCAGCTCTTCTCCTTCGGTTTTGGACTGAGCCGCTGAGAAGCAGCGTGTGGACTGAATTATCACTGTACATAATAAACACTGTTCTTTTTGTACTTCCCCTGTGTCTGCCTCGTTCTGGGTCTCATATCATCTGGGTTCCCCGCGCACTCCTAACAGAAATGCTCCAGCCACAAAAGACCCAGAATGAGACCAAGAGCGAGCAGACAACCCCCGGTTCCACAGAGGAACGGATCGACGGGATGGACAAGGTTCTTCATCAGGTGCTGACTCACCAGACCATGGTCCAGTCCAACCTTCAGGAGCTCGGAGGTATGATTTATTCCATTAAACGTCAGCTGCAAGCTTCTGCCTCCTCAGCTCCAGTCGTTCCGCCAGCCCTCGTGGCTCCTGGTCCCGCTCCTCCTGTTCAACAAATATTTGTTAAACCGTCTGAGTTCTTCACCGGAGACCCTGACCAATGTGGCGGCTTCTTGCTGCAGTGCCGACTCGCCTTCGAGGGGGCTCCCTCCCAGTTCTCTTCAGACGCGGCCAAAATCACCTTCTTCGTAAGCCAACTCAAAGGTAACGCTCTCCGGTGGGCTCACTCGTTCCTCTTGAGCCATGATAACCCCCCCTGCTTCCTATGAACTTTTCCTTCGTGAGTTTCGTAGGATTTTTGATCGTCCCCTGCAGACATCAAACGCCGCCAAGCGTTTGTTGAATTTACGACAGGGCCGTCGTAACGCCTCGGAGTTCGCCCTGGAGTTTCGGATCCTTGCTGCTCAAACA